TGCCATGTCTGCAGTGATACACAAGGTTACTGAAGAGCTTTGCCGTCTTGAGCAGCATGGGAAGACTTGGAAACAAACGTAACTACCAGAGTCCCTCCTCTGCGGATGGCTTCCAGACAGAGGATCAGGCAGGTGCCCACGGTAGGGCTGCCATTTTATGGGACCTGCTCTGTGTCCTGATTGATGTTATACATACAGACATACGATGCCACAAAGCCAAATATCTAACACTCCACTGCTTGGAGCTCCTAAGAAAATGTAATTCTCTATTTCCTGTAGCTGATCCAGTTTTTACCCACTGGGGATGGTGAAAAGAGAACAAAGTCTTAAAATTGCCTGCTGACAGCTGACAGTAGCTCCCTGTTCAAACAGCATCTTCTGAGGGATTCAGGCTCTTTGGGGTGAATGCTCAAACCCGCTGATGTTCTCCAGGGGCAGCCTGGTGACAGTCAGGGGTGGAGGGCCCAGGACTCCCACAGCCATGTGCCTCATCTGCCTATCTGTGGTGCTGCCAAGGCCCACATCTTACCTGGAACCTCGGGGTCTGTCACTGCCTTCTCCCTTGCTGCTTCCTTCTCACCTCAGCTCCTGCTTTCTGAGTCTCAGCCATCTCCTCTGCCAGCCTGGCCTAGGCCAGCTCGGTGGTGAGGCCACCTCGCTCTCATGGCAGCTGGTTCATAGCAGGTCCCCAAGGCCTGCTGGCTCAGGACATGGACGTCAGGGAAATCTGGCTCCCTTCTACTCCATGCTCAGAGACACTAACTCAGGTATCCTTCCTCTGCTCAGCCACACTGCTAGGAGCACATGCTAGCTCAGGGCCAGCCTACACAGGGACTATCCCCCAAGACACATGGCTAGGGCCAACGCCCTCAACTTGCAGCTCCTCCATCATCCCACAGCTCCTGTTTGGGACGTCACCAGGAGAGGAGAAGCCAGGATGCCCACCTGACCACTAACTTCCTCTACTTTCATCCCTCTCTTCCCAGGGACTCCCACCTGCTCCTGTCTGGCTGGGGTTTCTCAACCTCAGCACTACTAACATTGTAAACCAGATCATTGTTTGTTTGGGGGTGGGGGCTGTCCTGTGCATTGTAGGATGTTTAGGAGCATCCCTGGCCTCCAGCCTCCAGATGCCAGCAGTGCCTTCTACCTGTGACACTAAAAATATCTTCAGATACTGTCACACGTGCCCAGTTAGGTAAAATTTCTCCGACCCCACCCTGGTTGGAACCACTGGCCTCCACCATCTCTTTCTTCTTTCTGAAGTGACATCTGTCTTCCCCACTCCCCAGAGGCAACAATGGCAGAATGCATTTCTTTGAATAACATTTTTAGGGGAGGAGATCCCATTGGTTTACTATTTTCTGAATATTATTTCTGGTATTTTTTCCACTTCCAAATGGCACTGAGAGAGAGTTATGATTTAGCCCAGTTTCACAAAGGAAGGCACTCAGCACGACAGTTCAAATAACTTGGCCAAAGGGAGAGAGCTAGATGAAAACAAGACGGTCCGCTTTCATGGGCTTATACATCCCGTAGAAGCCCAAACTAAACCACTTTGGGCAGCAGGGGCCTAGAATGTGCCTCGTGATTCTCACTGAAGTATCATTTCAGGCATGCTACTTATTCTTGGGAAAACAATACATCCTTTTATCTGTTTTTCTTTCATAGCCTCCATTCAAGCTCACATTGTGTCTATACATCGTTCTTCAATTTTTCATCAGCCTAGGCCAAAACCGAACACAACTCTGACCTACAAAATAAAAAGAGCATACTAATGCATTGGAGGAATCTCTTGACCAATAACACGGAAATACCATCAATTCCTTTGCAAATACTGAGTCTGACACCCTTAGAAGTATAAGTTAAATTAACTCCTGTTAAAATAGTTGATCGGGAGGCTGTTAAGCTAAGATGGCTGTAGCACCTTGAGTTCCTATGTAACAAACCAAAACCCAGTGCAATGCAAAGAGTAAAACAAAAGTTAAGACTAACCAATCAGAAACCTCCAACTAACCTCCAACTAGGGACTTTTGACTTTAACAAATATATTTTCTCCCTCTTGCTGCAGCAAACACTTTATATATGCTTCTTCTATTACCCCATATCCCACGCCCCAACACGGTCAGTGGAGGGTTGAATTGTCTAGAATTGCCTAATTCATGAATAACCGAATGCTCAAATAAACTTGGACTGAAATTTTAATGTCCCTAAGTTTATCTTTTAACACTCTCTAGAAATTTTGGCCATCATTTTTTTTTTCTGGTTCATGAAAGTGCTTGACTTCCACTGTCTTTAAGGCTGATAGATGGAGGTGCACACAGCTCCGTGGAAGGGTATGGATGGATGTGATGGGTACAAGTGTCCAGGGCTGGGGATATCAGAGCCCAGAAGGGGGAAGGCCTTACTAATGGTCCCTGAGTAATTCTGATGCATCCCCCATGAAGAGCCATCGCCCAGATGACTGAAAATCACAGATCTACTCAAGTCTTTCATGTCAGAGACAGAGAAGAGTCCTTCAAAGAGAACGCAATAAGCCTAAGATCACAGAGAGTTAGGAAAACGGGGACCAAAATCCAGCCTTCCAACACACACACGTTTCTTACCACAGCATCATGCTTCTGGGTGCCACCTGTGCTGTTACAAGTCAAACCAAATGAAATTACCAACTTTTATAGATTGTTTTTTCCTGCAAAAATGGCAACTTCAGATGGTTCCACCTAACAAGAAGTAATGGAGAGAAAAAGACCATGTCTTAAATAATTTATAGCATGGGCCACTCCAACACTGTAGATAATATTGCTTCACATAGCTCAAGTGGCAAAGCTACAAGCATCTCCCAGCTCTGCGGGACTTTAGACCATGAGTCTAATGACTAGAAACAATTTTCATAAAACTAAATAGCCGTGGCTGACTGCTAGGATAATTCATCCCAGGTACAATGCCATAAAATCAGCTTTGTAAGTGCAAAACCAGGACACCTGCATAGAAAGTTGTTAGCCATTTTAAATAAGTGAAAAAGACATCAACTCTTAACACTGCCTGTAAGATCTAAAAGGGGCTAAGCAAGAACCAGTGAAGTCTGGTGATTTTTCAAAAATTCTCATCCTTCTCAGAACACACATGTGGGGCTTAGCACCTCCCCACACCTCTGTCCAGGCCCAAAGTCCTCCCATCTCCACCTCACAGGGGTTTATACAACCCGTCCTTCCAAGTGCTTTGCCCAGTCTTTCTTTCCAGGGAGACCAGCTGCCCCACCCAGCCTGTGCCTCTGCTGCACTGAATGGTCCTTACAGCATAGTATAGCTAAATTATTTCTTCAGCTATTTGCCTTCTCTTCCCCACAATAGGGTGAGCTCTTTAAAAGCAGAGATCATCATACTAATTGTTATACCGCAGAATACAGCATAATATGCAATGCTGTACTCATATATTAATAATATTAACATAATAATATAGCATACCATTTTTTAAAGTCATGGCCTATTTTTAAATTTTGAATTTAAAATAGAGCTGTGATATGGAGCCATCTTCTGTGAAATTCCTTAAATATCCAAAACCCTAAAAAACTTACTACACTAAGGAAATTCGAATAATGGTGCAGAGGCTCCAGTCCTGGGATGGTAGCTGTGAGGCCAGAGGTCCTGCCCAACAGAACAGCTCACACCAAGCATATATGGCGATCAATGCCATTCCATGTGAGAGTACAGACTTTAGGCAAATACCCCTCCAAAAGGACACTTTCAAGGTTTTTTTAGAAAGTAGAAAGACTACGCCTCTACGAAAAAACAAAACTAAACTAAAAAGTTAGCAGGGCGTGGGGGCACACACCTGTAATCTCAGCACTTCGGGAGACTGAGGCGGGAGAACTGCTTGAGCCAAGGAGTGCAAGTTTGCAGTGAGCTATGATTGCACCACTGCACTCCAGTCTGGGTGACAGAGCCAGACTCCGTCTCTCCAAAAAACAAAACAAAACAAAAATTTAAAACATTAAATAAATGTTTTAAAGTTCAAATACCATTCAGAGTAGGCAGAAGTAAATGCAGTCCCTGAGGTAGGTGGCAAAGTGGGAAAGGGAACTTACAGGAAATAGTGCTGTGACCTCACACAGCAACCATGGGTCAGGAGCATGAAACTCGTGGAGGCAAGTTTGATAAAAAATGACTTAACTGCTCATATGATCCCCTGCCATATGATCACAGTTTCCAGGTTATTAATACTACTTGAGGCTTGGAAGTTTAACATGAATAGTACAGATATCTTCTCTTCTGTGTTTGACAATAAGACAAAATTATTCCTATGTCTTTGGTAAAATGCCCCTTTCCAGGTGCCCAGCTGGCAAGAAAAGACTCCAGGAAAATACAACAAAATTATTTAAAAAGAAATTGCAAATATTAGTAATAACAAATCCTGCAGTAAACAGATTTGAGAGGTTAAACAATGTAAGGAAAGGAAAATAAGCAGAGCCATCTAGTGTCTAACTTCCTCTTGGGTAAACCCTGCTTTGGTGTCTTCATCTCACCTTATTCTCCAAAGGGTGAAGCAAAACCTCACAGTGAATTCAGAAACATCACTAACCAAAATACTAACTAACTGCTAATACATCAGTTTGTATGTACCATGTCTGATTCTTTCTTAATTGTTGGATGCACCAGGCAAAACAGATTAGCATTTGTTCTCCAAGTTTTCCTGGAATTACTCCAAACAGTCCTCCTCTCAGTCTCATTGTCCTTGACTTTTAAAATTAGAGTTCTGTAAGTTCACTGCATTAATTATTCTAAATAACAACCCCAACCCCCAAAGTGTCCTCTAAGGGAAGGAGTCAGCAAATCCAGATTTAACAACAACAATGACATGAAAAACACTCAGGCTAAAATGAAATAGATCCAACATAAGAGCCTTTTACATAATCCAAGGCGCATAATAATTATGTCAGACATTTTCAAAGATTCCTTCCCGATTTAGGAAGGTCTATATGATTCTCATTCATTTTAACTTACCTTTTGAATGACCTTGTTAATTTCTGGAGTGTTTGGTGTATATAGTATTTTTCCATGCAATATGGGTTTTAGGAAGGTCCACACCAAAGCACCATTTGGCAATTGTAGAATTTCCTGATAAAGCTTCAAGCAAAATGGTGCTGTTGCAATTAGAAAGAGAAAAAATACATTACTAATGATACACAATGCCTAGGTTAATAGGGAAATACATTCACATATCCAGGATGCCTCATTTTCAATGATAGACATATTTTTTTCTGACACGACTCTGAACTTTGGGGGTGCTATAGTTTGAATGCCTGACCTCCCAAACCTTAAGCTGAAATTTGATCCCCAGCGTTGGAGGTGGAGCCTAACAAGAGGTCTTTAGATCATGGGGGCAGATCCCTCATGAATGTTTTGGTGCCACTGTCACAGTAATGAGTGTAGTTCTCACTCTATTAGTTCCCAAGAGAGCTGCTTGCTAAAAAAACAAACACACACAAAAACAGCCTGGCACCTCCCTCCTCCCCTTCTCTTGCTTCCTCTCTTGTCCTGTGATCTCTGCACATGGCAGCTCCCCTTCCATTTCTGCCACGAGTGGAAACAGCCTGAGGCCTCACCAGAAGCAGATACTGGTGCCATGCTTCTTGCATAGTCCACAGAACTGTGAGCCAAACAAACCTCTTTTCTTTACAAATTACCCAGCATCTGGTATTCCTTTATAGCAACACCAAACAAAGACAGGAGGTAAAACAAGATTTTTTTCCCTGTTACAGTTTTCAGCAGCTCTCATCTCATAAGAAACTTCATGATACTGTGTTCACTTAAGTGACTTCAAAGGCAGGAAAGAATGACTTACATTTTCAAACTAAGTAATCAAAAAGAGTGTTAAATAATGACATGGACACTTGAAAATGAAAACGACAATTAGAAAAATAAATCTGGTTTTTCATCAAGAAAATTCTCATTTCAACAGTCACAATATTGAGATCAGAACTGAGCTTTTCTTATGAAGTCAGCTTTACAAGTTACTACTGAATTGTCTTTAAGGAACCCATGCAGAACTATCAAACTTCCTAATTTTGACATATTAAATTGCCTTATTTTCACGCAAGTACTGAATCCCTCTTGGTGGCTCTCATGAATCTTGTGATGCTAGTTGATTTCAATTAAAGATTTACTTAGCTAAATTGTCTAAATCAATGGTTACCTGATGAGGGTAGATATTTCCTCACCATAATGAGTAGGAACTAAATCTTATAAGGTTTTAAGCTAGTGAGGAATGCTTCAGTATAACTATTTCTTTACCCATCTAAAGAACATTTAAAATGAAAATATTATTTTAGCTTTATAAGAATAAAATGAAAATATTATCTTAGATTTAATACTGTGATTTATAAATACTCAAGGTATGATGGTTGTGGTTGTTTTAAATGTTACTTTCATCTTCCCAAACTCCCCATTTGAAAGGAAAAAAAATTATTTGACAAGTACAATAAAATTGATGGAAATACTTCCCCCTAAAGTATAAATTAAGAATATGACTACATAATACATTTTTAAACCATTAATTATAGAAGTTGTTCTTACTGAAATTTAATGACTTACTCTTTACACTACAAGCTTAATATGAACAGGAGCAATTTTACTGCAGAAAAAAAGCATAGTCATGATATGTACAAAACTAAAAATTTTAACTCAGAAATCCCGACATGTGACCTACAGAAACTACGAGATGACAGATGTGTGTTGTCTTACGCCATTAAGTGTGCAATGATTGTCATGCAGCATAGAAAATGAATACACTAGGATGCATTTATACCCTTATGCTAAGGCACCAATACTCGTCATCTCCATTGCATCTCACAACAAGCTTATAAGCTAGGTGCTACTGTTTCCATGTTATAAATGAAACCAACACGATGCAGACACATAAAACAACGTCACCAAAAATGCACAACTGATGGAGCTGAACTGTCTAAACCCCAAAACCTCACCAGCATGTTTATTCTGCCTTACTAATAAAAACGTTTCCACTTAAATTGGGGCCAAAAAATTACATATTAATTTGCATTCATTTGTACCTATCGTGCATATTCACTTGTACCTGGAGCTTCACAGAGAGCAAATTTGGAGGTGGCCACAGACAAGTTCTCTTCATTATTATAATATAGCCATTTGCATGGACCAAAGCAGTGCTCATGGTCTTTATGCCTGGACCCTCACCAATACTGGTTAGCCTGGGAAACCAATAGGGTTGGGGTTTCAGGTGTTTTAGACACTTCCTTGGTGACACAGTTCCTTAGTGACCCAGGTGAGAGGATTTGTTTGTGCTCAAAGGCACTAGGACTGTTCAAAGTCAGCTGCCATGCCAGCATTTGGGGAGGTGGAAGCAGAAGATTTATGTATATAGCAACCTTATACACAGACAGAATACTTAGTATAAAGTAGGGCCAATTATCAAGATACAAATGAATCTAAACACATATATATATTACTACTATCCTATCTTACTTGAATCTTCAGGGATGTTGAATTTTTCTTTGTCATCTTCCAAGAGTTCGTTAACTCTGGGCAAATCAATGAACATATTAGAATTGCTAAGGAATGATGCTTGGTCCTTGCAAACCAACTTCATCACAGACTGGAAAGAACCAAAGGCTGAACTTCTGGCCTGGACATTTTGTGAAACCTGAGAAAATAAGAAAACTAAATTGCAACTACATTGTGACTTAAAACAATTCTTTCACATACTTCTGAAAGTCTAGTTCCTTCCTCCACTGAATGTACAAGATATTCAACAAGTCAAAAGAATCGAATGTCTGCTTTAGAGTTTTCTGTCCTGGGATACCTTTTGAAACACTACAGTAATTTTTCTGGCCAACATACCTGGTAGAAGAGGGAAATGTCATACCTACACACACACACACACACACACACACACACACACACACACAAATAAGGCCTTACTATTTGTCCAGTAATAAATTATTAATCCGTAAAATATCACTAATTCAGACTAATTACTAGTCTTAATGTGTGTCTATGCTACCAAGATATCCAGATATTTTATAACTATACAAATTATCTATCACATGATGGACTTACAATATGTCTCCATGGCAGCTCTGAGAACATTGTTATCTTGCTCCTCATCCTGCACCTCCAACCCTAAAAATTCCACACTCCTCCTCATTCGTGCCCAGTCAGTTCCATCCCAGGCAAAGAGAGTTCAAGCAAAACCTAATATCAAGCCACTAAACTAAATCAAGTTTGTGTTTGCATTTGCAATAAATGATTTGTAATTTGTAAACCAATTATTTATAAGGAAATAAATGTTTCAAGGTTTTTGAAAGCAATTTGCTCTCTGAATTAAGTTAAACAGGCCCTTGAAATCTCATCTGTGCAATAATTGAGTTAGTAATTTCTTACTTCATAGATAATGCATGTACTATCCCAATCTCCACACTGGCGGAATGTGGATCAACAGTGTCAGTTTCATGCAGTTTTTGGAGAGATGCCAGGCCTTATTCTATGTTATGCTGTTGCTTCCAGAGATATGAAGAGGTACTTCCATTCCGGTATTTTGCTCTCTAATGCAAATTTTAGATGTGGGAAGATAAAGGAAAAAAGGGGCAAATACAAAGAAGGGGCAAATTTGAATATTTCCCTAGGGACAGAGATGAAGCACACACCTGTTGAAAGTCCAGTGTTTCTAGCAAGGCAGTGATTTTAAATGTGTGAAGAAACCCAGGAAGATGCTCAAAGATGTGCTGGGCTTTGGCAAGCAAGGAGCTGAGGCTGGAAACTACATCCAACAAGGAGTTGAGCAAGTCATTTGCTTCAGAAGGCATCAGAGTCTAAAGGACAAAACAAAAACAAAACAAAACAGCATGAAATAACCAACACTGTATTTTTACCCTCACAAGCATCTTTTGAGCTGGGAAAACTTGTTTATTTGATTATTTTCTGTCTCGAACTTCAGAGACGCCTTTGCTGTACTATACAAAAGTCCTCTTCGTTGGAGTATATATAGCTCAGGTGTTTTGGAGCACACTGAATTGCACTAGCATTGTTAAAATGTAAACTAGAAACAAATGTGATCTATCATTAAAATTCAAATCATTTGTCAAATATTTCTTTGTATCTTTGTAGTGACCAAGGTGGAAATTTGAGAAGAGGCTCAAAATACAAGCAGTCCTTATATGTGAAGCAATTTACATTAATCTACTGCTTTACTGTATTCATAACATTCACACATCATCTCAGTCCTCCTAATACCTTGCGGATGTCCAATATAGTGTTCATTTTGTGGATGAGAAAACTGGGGCTTAAAGAGACTAAAAGTCTTCCTGAAGTCTCACAGTTAGAAAAGTTTAGGGATGGGAATTTAACCCCGATTCTTTAAAAATGTCGGTACCCTTTGAAGCTTACTTATGCTATAACCAACTGAAATGCTCTGTATTTTACATGTTTTTGGTTTTTTTTTTGTTTTCTTTTTTTTTGCCAGGTATCTCACATTCTACACTGGAAGCAGGGCAGGGCTTTTCTTCTGTCTTGATCATTTATGTAGCTACTGGGAATAAAATAGCAACAGGAAATATTAGTTGCTCGATAAATATTTGTTGGATGAATGGATAAATGAGGAAATGCCAGCTCTTTGCACAGAGCAGGGAAAATCACAGCTAATTTCCACCGACGGTCATTTGCATACTGAATTTTCTGTTTTCCAGGCTGGGGAAGAGGAACCCAATTGTCACTGCTTCTTATTTTTGCTCATTAGTGTTCTAGCTGCTAGCTCTGCAGATGACTTCCAGGGCTCCGAGATCACAGCTCCATCCTTCACAGAGGCACTCTGCTTCTAATGATGGAGTTCTGTCCGTTCATACTACAGAGACAACTCTAGCAGGAGAAATGGTGTGTAACTTTTGTCACTTTTTCTACTCATCTTTCTAATTACAGCTGCCCTTTAAAAAAGTGGCACACAGTGACTGGTTCCTGACTTATAGTGGGGAGTGACAGAGATCCAGCACAGCTCCAACAGACCAGATTGATGTGCCAAATTAATATAGCAAATTGTGCTTTGCTGAAGGCTTCAGAAATTCATTGTCAGCTGAGTGAATCAGAAAGTACATGGACTTGGGAGTGAGCTGCACCTGCACGTGACCCTCACATGGAGGTGGGGCTGCCCTAGCATCCTGAGCAATATCTCGTATTTAATCAACTTGCATAAAGCCTTGCATATAGAAGGTACCTGAAAAACAAGTGCTGTTGTTATTAATGATGATGTCATTTTCACTGTGTCTGGGAGACTGAATCTAACCCACTATCTTATCCTTTAAAGGAATCTTGGTACAGATGATGGCCCTTGTAGAAGTAATTATGTGGGCCTCTACAAGCACTTACTTCAACTCGGGGACCTTTGTGCACATAACAAAGTGGCCACTAAAGTACCATCGTACCAATGGGAGCTCTGTTTCCCACAAGGCAAACTGTAAAGTTGGAAGAGAGGCTGTGGTGAGCAAAGGCAGAGCTAAACCATAAGTACGTTAGCGAGAAATATGAATTCCACCAAGATAGAGGTGGGTTTGCAAATTATGGGGACGCAAGAAATGTTTATCCTCCTCTTTATGGGTTTAAAATGTAATCATTCTGAAAACGAATATTTGTTCTCTGTGTGTGTGTGTGTGTGTGTTCCAACATATACCCCCTGGACTCTTGAAGTAATAGAAAGTAAGGAAATCATGTGTGGCTGAAATGGCAGATCTACCCTTTGCTGACTCTAAAACTGTTCTCCCAGACTCGGGGTGCCTACAGCCACCTTACCATACTACAAACCCTGCAGCCCCTCTAATGAACCTAGAGGTTATGAAATACTTCCCTAAAGGGAAAACAATGGTACTTGGAGCAAGATCAATGCCTAAGGGTAGGAAGGGAAGCTTCTGGAAACTTAAGTAAAGATTCAAAGAGTGGAGGCCAGAAGGAGGAGAAACTTCTGGAAGGGGCAGCTTGAGAGCAGTGAGCTGTGGTTGGGAGCTGGGTCACCCTTACATGGGTTCTGGGCCCGTCTGGAAAGTGCTGGGCCTCCTCACTTCCCACTCTCCACTCTCTCCTGCCGACATCATCGTCTTTGGCCTCCTCCAGCCCCTCCCTGCCCTCACACTGCTGCTTGTCAGAGGATCACAGGGCAAGTACAGAGCCGGCACACACAGGGGATTGGGCTTCCTGTGCTGCCAACCCCTCCACATTCTCTCCAGCACGGGCCCTGGCAGAGCTGGATGCTTCCTGCTGACTGATAGAACCATGGTGCGGGGAGCAGCACCTAACTTGGGCCGCTCAGGAGTGGACCATGCACAATCCCAGCCTCCTCAAACATGCTCCAGGGATGTGGCCCTTACAGAGGAGAGAACCCCTGGCATTAGGAAGCGGTGGTGCGTTTTTGCAGTGGGTCCTTCCACAATGAGCATGGAGACCACCAAAAACTCTGTCCCAATGCCCTGACACCTGTCTCCAAGGGCCCCCTGAAGGCTCTCCTGAACATCCCTTTATTACAACAAAGTCTTCTTGAGCCCCACCCTGGAGTCAGCAGACAGGTGACACTAGAGGCTGGTAGAGGCCACTGCAGAGTGGCCGAGTGCTCCTCTCCCACTGCAGCACCCCCAGGACTACCCTACTTACCTGCAGCCACCACAGCAGACTCCTGCAGAGGACCGCCCCGAGCCAGCATGCTCCCCATACCTTGTAAACGAAAGCTCGCACATCCAGGTTTTGACTCAGCAACACAATCAGAGGATATACTTTTGACGCCGGCAGGCCACAGAGTTCCTGCGTCGCGATCCGAGATTTTTCCCCTTTGGGAAATGTCAGCAGGAGACGAAGGATTTCATGATCACACTTTCCAGACAGAGCTACGGTGAGGGCACTGAAGAGAACCTGTTTCAAAGCACAGAGATCAGAAGTGAGGATACCTATGACATCGTGTGCTTCACCACCTCAGGCTGGAGCTTCATTAGCATGGAGTCACCCAAGATTGGGTTTCCCGGCTCTAGGGACTGACCTGCAGATGCGGGGAGCTCAAACTGTGGTTCGATTCTCAACATTTTGATGGAAATGTTTCTGAAGTGTCCACATCATTCTCTGACTTCTTATAAAATTTGCCCTCGCTTGGGGTCTTTGGATCACCCTTCTGAAACTCTGTCCCTCTGCTCTCCACGAGGCTCAATCGAACGCTCACCAAGCCCCCGACCCTCCGACGCCAGCCTCGTAGTTAGCATCTGTGTCTTGTTTGTCTGATATTAAGTCTTACCCTGGGCTTTCAGTTTATCAGCTCCCACTTTTCACTGCCATCAGTGTGAAGCTGATATTTTTTGCCTCCTTCATTTTTAGATTGAAAACAGGATTGCCAAGCTTGTTATATGTATTTTAAAAGCAAGTAAACTCAGAAGGAGGCACTGAGGACAACTTATATTAGTCTCTGGTTTATTACTATCATGCATCGCAATTAAAGCCTTTGACATACCTCTTCATTTGGGCATGCTTTTCAGTTAAGGGCATTTGTGAGATACCAAATTACAAAGCAAAATAAAACAAAAACCATACTTCCTGCTCCACATTTTTGCTCCTGATGGGCATAATTGCTGTGAAGCATTCAGGCCAACTGAGGCCGAAGTGCATGAACCCATGTGAATAGGAACCATGCGCACTGAATAAGAGCACGGAGAACTCAACAGATGCCATAAAATGTCCCCAAAATACATTAAGAGATAGATAATGGTGTAGTAGTCAGGGTCCTCCAGAGAAACAGAACCAATAGAATGTGTATGCATGTGTGTGTGTGTGTGTGTGTGTGTATGCAATCATGTGTCTCATGATGACAAGGATACATCTGGGAAATGCACCACTGGGTAATTTTTTAATTGTGTGAACATCATAGCGTGCACTTACAGCATCCTAGAAGATACAGCCTACTACATACCTAGGCTATAGGGTATGGTCTATTGCTCCTAAACTACAAACCTGTACAGTGTGTCACTGTACTGAATCCTGTAGGCAATTGTTCCACAGTGGTATTTGTGTGGCTGAACATATCTAAACATAGAAAAGGTACAGTAAAAATACAGTACTATAATCTTAAGGGATGACCATCCTATATGGGGTCCATTGTTGACCAAAATATCGTTATCTGGTACATAATGACAAACTGCATATATGGTGGTAGTCCCATAAGATTATAATGGAGATGAAAAAATTGCTATCTTCTAGTGACATCAGCCATTGTAATGTTGTAGCCCAGTGTATTATTCAAGTGTTTGTGGCAGTGCCGGCGTAAACAAACCTGCCGCACTGACATTCATAGTAAAAGTATCACACACCTAATTATGTACAGTACATAATAGTGACAAGGATAATAAATGACTATATTACTTGTTTATGTACTAACTGCACTATATTCTCGTTATTTTAGAGTATACTCTTTCTAGTTATTAAAAAAAAGTTAACTGAAAACAGCCACAGGCAAGTCCCTCAGGAGGTGTCCAGAAGAAGGCATTGTTGTCACAGGAGACGACAGCTCCATGCATGTTATTGTCCCTGAAAACCTCCCAGTGGGACAAGATGTGGAGGTGGAAGACAGTGGTATTCATGATCTTGACCTCATGTAGGCCTATGCTAGACTGTGTGTTTGTGTCTTAATTTTTAACAATACAGTTTTAAAAGTTAAAAGTAAAAAAATCTCAAAATAGAAAAAGCTTATAGAATAAGGACATAAAGGAAAACAGTTGTATAGCTGTGCAATGTATTTGTGTTTTAATGTAAGTGTTATCACTAAGAGTCCAAAGGTTTTTTAAAATTTTGAAGTTTCGGCCGGGTGCAGTGGCTCACACCTATAATCCCAGCATTTTAGGAGGCCAAGGCAGGCGGATTGCCTCAGGTCAGGAGTTTGAGACCAGTCTGGTCAACATGGTGAAACCCTGTCTCTACTTAAAATACAAAAAAAATTAGTCAGGTGTGGTGGGATGCACGTGTAATCCCAGCTGCTCGGGAGGCTGAGGCAGCGGAATTGCTTGAACTGAGGAGGTGGAGGTTGCAGTGAGCCAAGATCACGCCACTGTACTTCAGCCTGGGCAACAGAGCAAGACTCCGTCTTAGAAAAAAAAATAAAATAAAATGTATAAAGTAAAAAATGTTACAGTAACCTAAGGTTAATCTATGATTGAAGAAAGAAATTTTTTTTATATATAAATTTAGAAACACACAGTATTTATTGAGTCTACAGTGGTGTACAGGCATGTCCTAGGCCTTCACATTCACTTGCCGCTCACTGACTGACTCACCCAGAGCAACTTTCAGTCCTGTAGCTTTATTCCTGCCAAGTACCCCATACAGGCATACCATTTTTAAATCTTTTATACCATATTTTTCAGTACCTTTTCTATGTTTAGAACAGGTATCGTAAAATATGTTCTTGTGTTTTCTATGTTTTGATATACAAATACTTACCACGGTGTGACAATTGCCTACAGCATTCACTAGAGTAACCTGCTGTACTCTAGAGTGACATGCTAGAAAGTAATTAAGACAAATCTTCTATGGCAAATGCAGAAAGGACTCTTATTGAGCCAGCTTGGGTTGCTGCTCATGAAAAGCCAGGGCGATTCCCCTGAGTTGGGGGTTTGGATGAGGCCCATTTTCAGGGATGGTTTTATGCAAAAGCCTATTTTGTGGGATTGATCAAGGAGAGGTTCCTCTTGCGAAAGCAAAGGGTAGATGTGTTTAGGTTTGCAGACTAGGAGCAACAGGCCATACCACACAGCCTAGGTGTGTAATGGCTGTACCAGCTAGGTTTGTGTAAGTACCCTCTATGTAATGTTCACAGAATGGTGAAATCGCCTAACGATGCATTTCTCAGAATGAACCTAGTCATTAAGTGACACATAACATATATACACGGAGAGAGATTTACTTTAAGGAATTGGCTTATGCAAATGTGGGAGCTGGCAAACCCGAAATCTGTAGGGTAGGCCAGCGGGCTGGGGACCCAGGAAGGAGCTGACATTGCAGCTCACGTCTGCAGGCTGCCTGGAGATGGAAATTACTCTTCCTTGGGGGACTTTGTTATTTTCTTTTTGCCTTCAACTGATTGGATAACGCTGACTCATATTACGGAAAGTAATCTTTACTCAACGTCTACTGATTTAACTGTTACTGTCATCAAAAAAATACCTGCACAGGGACATTTAGAATAATGTGTGAGCAAATATCTGAGTACTGCAGCTTAACCAAGTTGACATACAAAATTAATCATCACGAATGGCTATGATACTCTACTATGCTAGTGTGCATTTTGAGTCTTTAAGAAAAAATATTAAGTATTTTCATCGCTAATTTACCAAGAAGACATTTTTTCACATAGGACTTGCATTGTGCAAACACACACTGGTGAAATTTTCCTTAATGCCACTGTTTTCAATCATACTGTCTCTGGACAAAGGGGAAGCTCTCAGGAGGAGGTTGGGAGCAGAATATAGGCATCTACCCTTTGCTTTCACAAGAGGAGCCTCTCTTTGATCCATCCCACAAAATAGGCTTTTGCATAAAACCATCCCTGAAAATGGGCCTCATCGAAACCTCCAACTCAAGGGACTCGCCCTGGCTTTTCATGAGCAGCAACCCAAGCTGGCCTAATAAGAGTCCTTTCTGCATTTGCCATAGAAGATTTGTCTTAATTACTTTCTAGCATGTCACACAGTGGTCCCCATGCAAGATCATATTTAATACATTTTTTAGAGTGTAGTCCCAGGACAAAAAATATTTGTCCTGAAATTGTTTACATCTCTTTTTACCAAATAGAGAGGATCCCACGCCCTGTCATGTGGAAGCTCCGCAGTCACAATGTACAGAAGCAACAGCCCCAGCAGCACATTTGCTCCCTCTCCTTTCCTGTGGTTTTCCAAACATTACTATTTATCTTTTAAAGATTGTATTGCATTCATTGTTCCTGTTTGAGAGTAGGTAGGAGGGGAGGAAGTTTAGAAAAACAAAGACAACACTGAGTTGTGCTTGATTGAAAACATCTTGTGTGATTTCTATTCAAAGCAAAACAGGCACCTTTTATCTCAGGCTTTGCATAGGCTAATGCTGCAAATTATCAGAAACAGAATGCCAACTTCCTGCTGATTTTCCTGTGTGTCCGTGTTTGGCTTGGAAAGCTGGAAGGGGGCTGAGGATCCAGGGCAATGCCTCTCTGCCCTGCGAGCCTGGCTCATACACACTTGGCCACTTAGATAATTATCTGGGTATTTATGTGGTTTAAAAATGACAAAGATCCTTAGGAGAGGCATTTGCATTTTTAACAAGAGCTTTGTTTATTGGACATCTGCCGAAACCCAAATTGCATTCAGAGGAGAGCACCAGAGATGGCCTCCGTGTTGCCCAGCTGCTCATTGTAGACTCAGAGGTTGGGAAAGCATAGGAGGAAAGGCTGCCCTCAGCCCAGCTGTGACCAGAAAGGAAACAGACAGTGATTCGAGGGAACTGGAGATGATGGGGAGAGAGATTCTGCCAAGTTAGAATTTGTAAGACAAGAAAATGAAAGGAGGGCAGGTATTTAAAAATAGACCGTACACACTTCAGTGAGGAGCAGTGTGGCTCTCTGCCATTGGAGACCCATTCGAGCTCAGAGCTGCTCACGGGATAATGAGGCAAGTACAAGAGATGAGCATCAGAGGGCAGGAGAAGGCTGCGAGAACCTGTCCAGAAGGACTGAAGCCACACTGTGGCAAGGTGGTGGATCCTGACTCCAGCTCTTACTATCTGACTTCCTAAAAGCTGCTTAACGTCTACAAGCTTCAGTTTCTTTGTCTATACTACTAGGGATGACAATAAAAGACAAAGGACTCCAAAGGGTTGTTAGGAATATTAAATGAGATGTAAAG